GTTGACTGTCACTCGGGCCTGGTTAACCAACGGCCTTCAGCCTCATTCATGTATAAACGTATATACATACATATCATCAAATACAATTATAACATATTCTCATTAAAATTGTCGTGTGTTAAGCGCTTGTCATAAAATACTAACCATTTGAGGGAAATTAAGTCAATTTTTCAGAAAAGGGAAAACGGTGTGTTTTTACAAGACAGATATTAAATTTACTTACTCATAATTGTGTACCAAACGACTGCAAATTAAGACTCGTGGAAATTTAAATGCGTCTGGTGGTATTTTAAATTTTCCCTATATCAAGGATAGGATCGCCTTTACTATGGAGGGAGAGGAGCTCACATTATCCGTAAGTGGTATAATTTTCTTAATTACTGGCAAATCGATATTTTTTACTTTCATTTTCGAGCAGTCGTCTCTTGCTTCGGTGGGTGATGCCCCGATATTGAGTCTGGGAGCTATGTACACTACTTGGATCATCCAATATAGAAACTTACTTAGTCCATCTAGACTCGGTCTTCCGAAGAAATTTAGATCGATCCGTGGTCTCCTCTCCATGTATGATCCTTATAGCGATTATCAGTTTTCATTTATAACGTGTTTATAAGACGGAATTGGAGTATGATTTCTACATTGAAATATTGCTATATAGTAGAACTGGTTGTGTATTACTGAGCAATAAGACAAAATAAATTTTCGGCATAACTTTATGTGAAAAAATGATATAATTGCTTATACGAATAATCGTAGCAAAAATATTCTAACCTTTAATACCTACAGAATCCTTAACACATCTTACTACATGTAGTTTTTTTTAGTTACACTTTTCCAATTTTCCCATACGTATTGTTTACAAAACTAATTTTCTTAAAATACAAATACAGGTAATGTATTATTGTTAAGTAAACTTCATTTCAAAGCGATGAAATAACAGATGCATATAATAGTTAGATAAAATTGTTTTGATTTTTTTAAAAACGAAACTTGTAATTGAATTGTATTATTTTAATTATTAAATTTGAAACGGAAGCAATTGAATTGAACAGAGGCTCATAAATTATTTTGTAAGCCAGGCATTTAGAAAACTGTCAATCTATATTTTTGCATAATTTCGTTCATAACTGACACATTATGCAAAATATTCAGTCTGTCATGTTACAAAGTGGTTTACGAAATGTGTGCGAGTATGAATAAAAGGTTTGTGGTTTACATTCAGTCCAAATTTCATCTGCAGATATTCGCATGGGAATCTGAAATAGACGGAAATCGTGGAACCTTAACCTAATTAAATTAGTGACCCCTGTCATTTACTGTCTCTTAAATAGATCACTGGTGTCTAAAAGTGCAACATAGACTCCTACGCCAGAATTCTGGCCACTTGAGGAATTCACTTTCTTATTAACCAAATGCAAAGATCAATTCCCGTTTTTCGTAAGAAGATGAAACTGGGTCATACTCTTTATCAAAATAGAGCACACAAAAAGTATGTTTATCACCATATATATATATATATATATATATATATATATATATATATATATATATATATATATATATATATATATATATATATATATATATATATATAGTGAAAGTATAATACCAAGGTATGCTAATTAACTACTTCTTACAAGAAATGAGAAAATAATGTGCAGTCATTAATTCATAAATTACAGCATTTCGTCTGAAAGAATTCTTTAAATCAAAATCAGACATGGCAGTTATTGGCAAAAATCACGAAGGATCCTAGTAGGTTTGACCGGAACCTGTGCCAAACTCGACGAGAGTACGAAAAAGAGCATAAACAAACTGCAGTTCAGTGCAACAATACCACAAATATATAATAATTCCATTGAATTTACTCGCGTTTTATTCAGTGAATAAACATGTTGTATTTTAGTAGAATACAGAAACCAAATGTGATGTTCAAATGATAGCCGTTTTTGGCCTCGCAGAAGCCAAAGTAAGCTGGTGCTTAAGCCTTTAACACCTTGTCGGTTTACAGGTTAATGTTAGGAGAAATTTTTATTTCCAAGCATTACCCTTACTAAACTTGTATTTAGCTAGGGATGCACAATAAACAAACATGTCTTGTTATGCTTCATCTTTCCTTTATTAAAAATAAATGAATGATATACATGTACATCTAAGAATGGAGTGCAAACATCCGTACGTGCTTCGGATACTGTATTTGACCTATTTTCCGGGTTTCTCAGTATACAATGTACAATGTATATAAAGAAAAAAAAGTAATTTATCCGAGTGAGAGTTAACTTCCTTATCAGACAGTTTACGAAACTTGTGTGATCCAAAGTTGCGTGGATTTTCCATTCAGGGAGGCATACTATCATTCTTTAACTTATAGAAAAAGAACCTTTTTTTCTAAATTCTATCAAATTTGCTTGAATGTTACTTTTATGATGCATATATCCAAAATATCCATTTGGTGTGAAATCTACCTGAATAAGATTTATTCAATCTACATATCATTCTTTGCAATGAGATTCATAATTTAAAGATTAACCATCATAGTTTTGGATGAAGATGGACAAACGTTTGAAAGAATAATTGCTTTTGCTTCGGAAAGGAAACTTCGGGAGGGGTGGCAACATCTGTGATTAGAGTCGTTGAATACCCAGTAATTCAATATTTAACACAAAAAAATAAAAAAATATGTTACAGTTTGTCCTGTGTGTAACGGAAGTGACATAATTTGTATGTGGATCGACGTCGAATGCTCTCTGATATATAGAAATGCTCTTTGTGAGGGAATACTCCGCTTTTCGGTGCTCTAGTTTTTGTTTTGCTTTACAATACATACATGTACTTGAACGAAGAAAAAGTTTAATTTATGATGTTTCGATAGTAAGTAATATATTTATTCAAATAAAAAAAAAATTCATATTAATTTACGTGAACCTAGCTAGAATCATAAAAAAAATTCATATTAATTTAGTACAGTCTTTTAAAGTTGCTAATGTATAATTGACGCGAGTGAAAAAGATATTTTCTTTCTTTTTACTGCCTGAAGGGTTTGGGGGGTAGTTCTGCTTACAGGTGTAGTTGTGTCCTTTACCAATTTTTAAAAAAACAAATAATCAATATGATTTGTATGTTTTGTACATGTATAAGACAACTGATAACATGCATGTACATATTTAAATGGAGGACGGCTATAAAGAATATAATGATTGCTTACGATCGTATTTCAATGCTGCATTTGGCTCATATTATCTTTATGTGTAATCCCCTTAGGAATTGTTCATTTTAAAAGAAAACATGAAACCTCTCTGGACCGGAAATGCATTAAGAAGGCGTTAAATGGGATGCATGCAATCATTCCGCTTCCTACCCAAAATAACATTTCTTGACTTATTGACCATTACACACACCTAGAGTCATAATCCTACTCCTTTGAGTTAAACATGATCCTCCCAAGATGCAACATCTATCCAAGATCGGCTTACTAGCAATACAGTTTATTATTATACGTTATACTTTGTTATGTGTAAAACATGTACTTACGTGATTGTTATAATTCATGAAAGAAAAAAAGATGCATGTTGTATTTATGCTGTGTCTCACTTTCAACGATGGGGGCTCTCATATTGTTTTACCACGAATTCTTGATTCAAATCGTTCCTAGGTCAGAACTTTTTCATAATTATTTTAATATTGTGAAAGCTTCTTAGTTTATTACAGTCTGTATAATGTAGTTGGACCAGGTTGAGACACAACTTTACTCTCTTGACTAAAATATTGCAATTACCGTTGCCTTTGTTTTCATAATCAAATGATTAGTAGCTCCCTTGACAATTTAAGAAATCTTCTCCACTCCAGACTTTTTTTCAGAGGTCAGCTTAGTCATTCATGAGGCCCATTCGTATGTGTTCACCCCCATGGTCATGTTTTGTCCTCACAGTTGTTCATAAATATTGGTAATGGAACATTTCTGCTTATTCTATGAATAGCGTTTGATATACATATCATATATGTGAACAAAAGGGTACAAAAAAGCGTTTTTTACAGCTCCTGGATTCCCGGGGCCTGTGTGAAAAATACAGAAAAACATCCAAATTCATGCAATACTCTTCGCTTGGTATCTACCATGCAAGCATTATTATATTGTATCAATTGTGAATTTTATGACTTCTTGGTTGGAGCTCACGGCTGAGATTTTAGTATTTCCTTTAAAAAAACATTTAACTTTTTGAAAATACTTTGTATATCTTCTAAGGCAAGATTTTGCAAGATTATACTGAGCTGAAAGTCCCTTGCTAGAATTTCTAAATCCAGATCTCCAGGGTAGAATCCAAACGTTAAATAGATTTGTACGGTATTCTAACATCACATTTTTTCAAATCTTTGGATACAGCCCTGGGTAACTCGTAATCCCCTCAAATCCTCCAGGCATATAGTTCTCTTGATAATGCGTCATGATCCCTATTTGACCTTTGATTTTATGGTCAAATTGTACTGTTGATTTTGAAACTTAGTAGACCTTAACAATTATTATTAACTTATAAATAGATCCATGTCTATGATTAGTGACACATGGACAACTCCCTGTTAAGATGTGTCACCATGGATAAAAGATAATAATATTCATTTATACACATATGAAAACCATATACATGTATGTTATTCAGAATTTATTTTTAAGTTTTTCTTAGTTCATGAAATTAGGAGTCTACTGTAGAGTCAGTGATGGGACATCCATGTTATTTCTTTGATATTGAATAGGAAATAAAAGCTTTGCAAGGCAAAGTGAAATCGCAAGTCAATTCTAATGCAAGATAAACGAATACGCTTTGTTGTATCTCTTCTTAAACCACTATAAATATTTTTGCGCATAACATGTACAACTTTTTCTCATAGCTTCCGTTCCTTACGTATGACTTGATAGCAAAAGCGACAATAATGACGAACCTCTTCCACCAAGATTAACGTCATTTCTAAATAGATATGACTTGGCAGAAAGTTTCAAGCCTGCTTTGTTGGGCGCCGATGATATGTATTGTATTGCTCAACAAAAAATAGGCGCAATTCGCAGGTGTTGGATTGTTATTGACACAATGTGCACCAACATAGCATTATCTTTGTCGGCAATCTCTGTGTATCATCAGTATCTATAAAGTGTTCATATCAGTACTCCTCACAATAATTGCTCAGAACGGTCTTTCGAATGTAAATTCTCAGTGGCGTTTTGTTGGAACCAAGCGACAACTTTATATGATTCTCTGCTACAAATATACGTACTTTTAATTAAAGGAATTCAGAAAAGCAGACCATTGTACTGTCCATTTTGTTTTGTTTTATGTTATTACCAACGATTGGAACAGAAGGAAATTCACGACTGTGCGGATTTCACTAGATAGGTAGAAGTAAAAGTAACGTTTCCGAGGCCACCGCAAGAAATTGATTTTTTGGAATTTCCGCCCATACGCCTGCTATGTTCCACGACTTGAAGTTAATTACGGTCTCTTTGATTGGTGGGAATTAATCAACTACAGATTTTGTGTATCAAGAAAAGTGATAATTGTCCTATACCCTAAATTAAATTGAAAACGAGACTGGTCCCAGAATTGCAATGTGATACTTCAAGGGCGCTGTAAAATTGTCGTTTCAAATAGGATAAATTCAACCACAGCTCTATATATGTAAGTTAAAGCATCATTTCAATTCTTTTTTCGTCAAAAAGTCATATCCAAATTTGGAGAAAATTGTAGATTTCGTTTTACCATCTTTTTTCTGCTTTTGTTAAACCACAGCAAACGATTTGAGTGAAATTGTAAATATTTATTTTGGGGGTTTCATTTACATTACATGTATATCAATGTTTTAATTTGCATTGAATTTAATTGTGCATGCAGATCTATGCATTTATATAGTGCATATTTAGTGAGAATGGGAAAAATGGCTTGATATTGAAATCTAGTAATAAATATGTTTTCACAATAATGAGGCGTGCACAAACGCTTTATGCAAATTTTATAACATACTTTTTGTTCGTGTATCCTTTGTCCTTGAGTGTGTTCTAACTTTAAACTTGCAACAAAAAATATCATGAGGGAGACAAGGCATTTTTTCCAAATCTCTTAGAATTCCCTTCGGCCGGGCGTCTGTTATCTATTTTCTAGGTGACCTCATTGCCTATGTTTGTTGCATACTGATTCTCTTATATTCTTCATATAAATTATTACATGAGCATAAAGAATTTTGCCAAATTTCCGACAGTTGTCCAGCGTGATAATGTGGAAAAAATGTGCATAGCATATACAAGCAGCGTTTTCCTTGGCAAGGATGCAAGTCCCCATATAACAACATACATCTGCAACATGGAGGGGGGTTCCTCTTTGACCATCTGAACAAATTATCATACATCGCTATAAGAACAGATTCACGTGGGGAATGACCATTTCGATGGTGTTGATGTGAACTTAATTATATGGAACAATTGAGTCCAAGTTTTCCATCCAAAATATGTTACAGGTGTAGTTTTAATAGAACTTCAGTATATGATCTAAGGCAAGGAGGGATAAGAGGAGACGAGTACTTGTAGATGGGACAGATTCGACAGCATCTTTAGTATGCTGTTTTGTTCGTAATTTCTTTCAGGAGGACAACTCTCCTTGTCACCTCCTCTTTCCAAACCTAACGACATTACACTTATGATAAAATAACCGATACAAAACCAACTGTTACATGTAATATTTTATTTTAAAAAAGGATATTTAGAATTCGAAATCGAAAAGAAAAGTCACTTGAAACCTTGTAAAATGAAAATGACAATTGCTCTATAGTTTACATGTATATGTTTAAAAATCAAGTGCCAGGAAGTAAAAGGAAATGCAACATCGCGAACAAAATTGTATACACTGTAGAAGATGGACGAACAAGTCGAGCGATTTTTTTCGATATTTCATCTGACAAGCATTCTTTATGTAAAATCTCAACAATTTGCAAAATTCTCACAAAAATTAAAATTATTTGTACATGTATACATGAAATAGTATACACACTCAAAAGACAGCAAAAAAGGATCATTTACTCGTACAATGTACATGTAATTCGATTTTCCCACATGAGCGGGTCTTCCCTCACTTGTTTGAAAGTTTATCCTCCAAGTAAACGTTGAATATACTTTTAGTGTTCGGAAACAGGGAGTAAATACCTACTTTACCTTTAAAATACATTTTTATGACACATCGTATACCTGTATTTCCGAGAAATACTTTGTCCATTTAGCTTAGGGTAAGCGTGTTATAGTCTCAAATGAAAATGTTACTGAAGTTTTATTGCTAAAGGGTTCGAACCCAAATAATGCCTCATTTTAATTTTTACCCAGAATTTTTTTTTGTTTGTCGTAGAATTATAACTTTTTCAACAAAAGGAACTTTATTCTACATGTTAATACTAAAATCAAAAATTGAATATGATTTCGAAATATTTGAAGCTGCATGTTTACTGAATACTTTTTATCTGAAAACCCTGTTCTCCCATCTTAACAAATGATAGAGCGAAACTCGGTCTACCGATAGACCACGTGTAGTGAGGAATTAAATTGATATTAATTGAGAGTCATTAAACGTACACGTAGGAGTAAATTTAACTATAACACAAATGATTTACAAAGTATACCAAAAACATTTTAATCCCAAGGTATTCGTTATTGAAATCGCCATTCGAGGTTAAATGTGAGGTAACATTTTCAGTAACATTTTCAGTAACAATTCTATTGGCGAATTTCATCTTTTGAATTTTATATTTATCTCTTTGCTCTCTATCTATATCTTCAATTTCAGGTATTATATTTAATGTTCTTGTATTACCGGTATAGTCAAAATCGTGGCGAATAGATTTTGGTTGTTCCGTCCGGCTGTTAATTTTTTGTCTTTTACTCTGTTTGCCTGCAAACTTTTTTCACAACTTTTGAAGGTTGGTGCTATGATTTTCATATTTCACAAGTGTATATTTCAAGATATGTTTGATAACAGCTCATTTGCCCACCATACTTGATCCTGGAATTGAACTTCTTTAAATTTGCAAAAACTTACCAATCTTAAACGTTGGCCATAACTTTTGATCGCCTGATATTAGGTATTTTATAACTCATGAGTTAATTCCATTTGTCTTGATCTTTCTATGGGAACAAACACATTAATTGACCTTTCGATCATTGTCTGTAAGATTGAGCTACATAAACTAAACTAAAACTAAAAGTTTATCAGTCTTGAAAGATTTATGCTAGGACTTTCAAACATTTGTGATATTTGTGGCAAGACCTTTCTTTGGGTACCTACATTTTTGACAGTATGTCTTTACAGTTGACCCAGATTTTTGACAGTATGTCTTTGCAGTTGACCTACATTTTTGATAGTAACTATGTCTTTGCAGTTGACCTACATTTTTGACAGTAACTATGTCTTTGCAGTTGACCTACATTTTTGTTTTTATTTATACCTTGCCTCTAATTTCTTAATTGTTGTTGCTATTGCTTTCTTAATTTCATTTATCTTCTTTCCTTGTAGATACCATTGTTTTTGGCGTCATGTCATTGACATTGGAAGATGACGTACTTTCCTTTAAAAATTTAAATCTTTTATATTAACCTTTTATATATCATCTGAAGGTTAATAGTAGGGGTATTATTAATTATCCATATGCATATTACTTGTGACTAGATCTTTATTTAGGTAATAACTTTTGTTCGGCTTACATTTTAAAAAAAATTTAACCTTGACCTTGAGCTACCATTGTAGGGTGGTATCGGTGTTGCACTAACACATCTTGTTTCAAAATTTTTTTATAAATGTATCGTCAGTATATGAACAACGCTTCCTTTGAAGCTTTATACACACTTTAAGAATTACGGTGCACACTTCCGTATATAAACAAGGAAGGGCTATATAATGTAGATATTAAGACGGTCTAAAAGCTAGACATTTTCTCTCTGGTGACTAACTACATGTCTCATATAGTTATAAACAGGGTGCCATTTATATACATTTTACCATATTTATCTAAAGTCAACTTTCATACATGTAATTAATATAGCAGCTTTTCGTACATATGACCATTTCATATTGCGACAAAGATTGTTCCATACACTCTCTTTTTCAACCAAGAGGAAAATAAGCTTGTTATCATTGTTACATTTGTAATTATGTTGTTTATTCAGTGATAAAAATATCATGTGCACAGAGAGACATTGATTGATTGATTGATTGTATACAGTTTAACGTCCCTCTCCAGAATATTTCACTGATATGGAGACGTCACCATTGCCGGTGAAGGGCTGCAAATTTAGGCCTATGCTCGGCACTTACGGCCTTTGAGCAGGGAGGGATCTTTATCGTGCCACACCTGCTGTGACACGGGGCCTCGATTTATACGGGCTCATCCGAAGGACCGCCCCATTTAGTCGCCTTTTACGACAAGCAAGGGGGTACTGAGGACCAATTCTAACCCGGATCCCCACGGGGCCAGAGAGACATTAAAGTTGCGCATAAACGCAGTTTTTTTTTTAAAAATGTCGCATCTCTCCGGTGAATAGTGAATACTTTAATGAAATCATAAGTCGGGAAAATATCTTGCTCACTTGATGAAAATTATATAATGCTCATTTTTGATCAGCTTTATTAACTTTGTTTATAAGTAAAATGTGGATTTTTTTTAAAATAATTGAATTTTTCTTGTTTTTTTGTGAATGATTCATAATTATGGCCTATTATGATTATTTAAATAAAGTTTGGGAAAGCTATAAAGGACTGGTTCAAATAGTATTATTATACTTTTAATAATAACGCCATGTTTAATGTGATTTACACATACTTTTCGATTCCTAAAAATCTTGTATTCAGTAAACGTCTGAGGACCTTGGAAAAAGTAAATGAATGTATTCAAGTGTCTGTTAGAAGGAGTCGTTCGATTTGCATTTCTTCCTCTGTTTATATAAAAGCAACAGTCTTCAAAAAACATGAAGTGTTGATGCGTTTTTCAATATTTACTGAATATATTTTTTTCTTACCTGTGTGAGTGTTTATTGTCTAAAGAGTTTGCCTTTGCCACCGTTAACAGTCTATAAACACGCATTAATTGGATTTTCTTATCAGCATCTAGGTAAACACATTACAAGCGATTAATGGTACTCGGGCGAGAAATATGTGTTTTATGCCAATGCTTTACTAATTTTTGTCGATGGGTAATGAACTTGACTCTAACTTCACTGCCCAACGAATCCATTACGTGGAATCTCTGAGAGACACGTTACAATCACTAATCAACACTCCATTGAATGTTTTAGTTCTCAGAGTGATTTAGGATCGAATGGGCCTGTCAATGACTTGCTGGAATCCTCATTCAGTCTTTGAATTTTCATTGGGATATTACTGGTATCATTTCATAGCAGTCATTTGCTTGTTATCTATTGGCAGCAGAAAATTGCTTAATTTCTGACAATGTAAGCAGAACTTTATCATTAGCATCCAGTATCAATATGATTGATTTTTTTCCCTCCCGTTTAAACTGGCCTAAGATGTTGTGAAAATGGTTTTCCTGTTCATAACATAGAGTGCACTTAGAACACTATATGTAGATAGAATTAAGCTTACTTGCGCTTGTATTGTAGGGGAAAAAAGTTCGTACAGCAATTTTTCAA